GTTCTCCAATATAACTTGGTCTCTAATGTTCAGTGTTGTTCTCCCTCTCATTCTTGTCAAAACTTATTAATGGTGCATTCTCTATTTCGTTGATACCCCTTTTTGCTGTTATCTTTCCATCAATTGTAGTTGCAACAAATTGAATCAATGTTGTTAGCATTACTATTAGATTTTTTTCTAAGATTATCACTATGTAATTAATGTATATGAGGAGACAATGTATGGATAAAATAATATCGATAAAAGATAGCTCACATATACAATACTTAATTGGTTCTCATATCATAGTAGATTTAGATGCAAAATGTTATCACAGTACATGAGTAACTAGACAGAAGGTAGATAATTACAATAGGTTATTTTACTTAGTTTGATGTGAGATTACATTCTAAACAAATGTTAAGTCCCAGTCAGAGCTTAAGAAAGAGTAAGGGTTTTTGTACTTTTGGTGAAAAAATACCAAAAGATTTGAATAATCTTGAGCTACTTTATTAATGAATTGTGTTGCCTTTAAATAGGCAGAGTTACAATTTAAGATAAGAACTAAAGATTAAAGCAAATCAACAAAATAAAAAAAAATACTAAAAATTTGAAAGTGGAGAGGAGCTTGGCCAAGATTCTGGGTGACATCTTCTATTGGAGTTCATTGCCGGCATGTGCAAAATGTGCTGAAGTGAAGCACGTGCAAAAAAGGCCAGTCCTTGATCTATGGTTAACCAATGTATTGTGGGTTTAGTTTAGGGATCCTCTGCGATCTCTGGTTCTTATCATCAGTACCCCAATTTTGATAACCTTGTCCTCAAGGTTGGGAAATTGGTTAGTCATATGCTCAGTTATCTCCCATGTTGCTTCTTCGGCTGGTAGATGCTTCCATTTGACAAGGCATTCTTCAATGATTCTATTACCACTTTTCATCCAGCGAGTATCAATTATGGCTTCAGGTTGAAGGATGATGTTGCCTTCTTCTATAGTGGTCGGCAGCTCTTTGATGGGAAAGGTGGAGTCACCAATCTTTTTTTTAAGTAGGGAGATGTGGAAGATAGGATGGATGCATGATTCGTTTGGTAGTTTGAGTTTATATGCTATTGGGCTTATCTTCTGTTCGATCATATAGGGTCCATAGAAGCGACATGCCAGCTTCTGGAGAGCTCGTCAGAATACTATTTGTTAGTGGTAGGGTTGTAGCTTGAGGAAGACCTAACCCCCTACTTGGAACTCAATATGTTGTCTTTTTATGTTGGTGGTTTGTTGCATGCGACGGTTGGAAACTTGTAGGTTGTCTTTGAGTTATGCCAGTAGTTCATTTTTGTTTGTCAGTTGTTGATCAACCTCATTTACTGTTGTCATACCCTTTTGGTAGTATAGAATGGTAGGTCGTCCATACAAAACTTGAAATGAGGTCATCCCAATAGAGAGGTGATAGGTAGTGTTGTACCAGACTTCTACTTAGGAAAGCATAGAGTACGACTTATTCGGCCATTGGTGAGCTAGACATCGCAGATATTGTTCGACACATTTGTTGATGACCTCGAATTGTCCATCTGTTTGGGAATGATATGTCAAGCTCATTTTCAGTTGTGTCTCTGATATCTTAAAGAATTTGTTCTAGAAGTTGCTTGTAAAGATGGGATTTCTATCACTGACTATGGATCGTGGCATACCGTGTAACTTGACCACCCCTTGGACTAATCTCTCAGCTACTGTTTTTGCTGTAAACATATGTGCTAAGGCCAAGAAGTGGGCATATTTACTTAAGTGATCAATGACTACTAGTATTGAGTTTCTGTCGTTGGAGGATGGTAATCCCTCGATGAAGTCCATGGTGATGTCATCCCATACTTGACAGGGAATAGGGAGGGGTTGTAGTAAACCAGATGGAGACAGGATTTTTGACTTAGCTCTTTGACATGTTTCATAAACTGATACGTACTCATAGACTGTCTTTCTCATTGAAGGCCAATAGAACTATTGTGCAAGTTTTTTGTAGGTTCGTAGTACCCTAGAATGGCTTCTCAGGGAGGAGTCGTGGTAAGCTTGTAAAAGTTGTTGAACTAAATTGGACTTGGGAGGAATAACCACCTAGTACTTATAATAGATCAACACATTTTTCAAGGTGTACGATTGTCCTGGTTGTTTTTCTACGAGGGCATTTATTTATGCATATAAGGGTGTCTTTGTATTTCCTACTTAATATCATCCCATGACTCAGTCTATTGGACAAACAGGGCATCTAATGTGGGTCTGGTGGCTTGGTAGGATAGAGTATATATGGTGGCATTCTCTTTTCTAGGTTTGTAAGTAATCTTATAATCATACTCAAACAACTTGAAAACTCCTTTTTGCAGTTTTGGTATAGTGATGCGTTGCTCTAGTAAGTACTTGAGGCTGCGTTGATCTGTTTAGATAAAGAACTTTCGGCCCATATGGTAGGGGGTCGCCAAGTATGGATGAGGATCATGACTACTATCATTTCTTTTGCATAGATTCACCATGACTATTTAGATACCCCCAAGGCTCTACTGAGGTAGGCTACTGGTTTGCCTACTAAGTGAGAACTACACCTATTTCGTCCCCTGATGCGTCCATCTTAATGGTGACTGGTTCATTGAATTTGGGAAGAGATAGGATTGGCGTGGAGGTCATGGTTTGCTTTAACTTAGTGAAAGCTTCGTTGGGCAGTGTTCCATTCAAACTACCCCTTTTTGAGTAATTAAGTTAAGGGCCAGATGATCAGTCCATAAGTCTGCACAAATTTTCTGTAGTAGTCCGTTAGTTCTAAGAATCCTCTTAGTTCTGTAACTGTGCTGGGCTTGGGCCAATATATCAGTGCCTGAATTTTATTTTGATCCACCTAAACTCTTTGGGGTATGATAATATGCCCAAGATATTCCAGTTTTTGCTGCCCAATTTTTACGCTTGATAAAGAACTTGTGCAACTTCAATATCTCAAACACTTGTGTAATATGGGTTTGGTGAAAGTGCCAATCTAGATTGTAGATTAATATGTCATAAAAAAATACCAATACAAACTTACGTAGATAAGGATAAAAAATTAAGTTCATAACTGCTTGGAACGTAGAAGTTACATTGCAAAAATAAAAAAGCATTATTAGATATTCCTAATGGTCCTTATGTGTCCGGAAGGCTATTTTGTGGACATCTGGGGGTGTACTCGGATCTGGTGGTACCCTACGATCAAGTCTAGCTTTGTGAAATAAACTGCCCATGTAACTCGTCCAACATGTCATTTATAGTGGGAATGGAAAATTGGTCTTTGATGGTGACCGCGTTGAGGGCCCGTTAGTCGATACAAAAGCATCAGGTGCTGGCCCGAATGAGGTCGTATTAAAGCATCTCTTTTACCTATTTTTCAATATCAGCTTTTTGAAAGTATGCGTATCAGTATGGCCAGACATTTATCGGCTCGGTCCCCTCCTTTAGGCAGATCTGGTGGTCCACCTCCTTGGCTGGTGACAGCTGATCAAGGTCAAAGAAGAGCTCCAAAAAATCGGCGAAGAGCTGCTGTATCTCCCGTTGTGCGGTCCTGGTGTCGCCCTTAGCTCTAAGCAGCAAGCAAATAACATATAGAGTGTTTACTTGCAGCCTCCCGTCAATCTCCCTCTGTGTCACTGGCCAGATGGGCAATGCGTCCAGGTCGCGCAACTGGCACCGTTGGTTGAGCCACTAGAAGTCCATGGTCATCCTCTTCCAGTCGCAGGCCACGGGTTCGAGCGATTCTAGTCACTTCACTTCCAAATCCACATTGAGACCTGTCAGTGGTAAGGAAACAAAAGTGAGGGAAAAAGGGATACCTTGGACTTCTATTGGGATATCATTGAATCGTCCTTGGCACCGCATGGGATGACCGTTCGCCACCTTGACAGAGAATGGCTTTGTGGGAATGACAGGAAGCCAAAGTCGACTGGCCACCTTTTTATTAATAAAGTTGTGCGTGGACCCGCTAGCAATGAGCATGATCACTTGTTATTATCGGATCATGGTCGCGACTCTCATGGTGCGAGCGGTGGCTCAGCCCGTTAGGGCGTGCAAGGATATATCAGGCTCGTGGGGTTCAGCTTCTTATTCTTCTTCAGCTTGCCCACCATCGAGCAAGAGGAGTTGGGGCTTTCAGCACCAATGGCCCACTGTGAAACGCTCGTTAAAGTTGAAGCACAGTCCCTGGGTTCGTCGGCGCTGCACCTCTTCCCAAAAGAGGCATCTGAGAGCAGCTGTGGAAGAAACTAAGGCACGCAGGGCCTGATCGGGTAAGGTCAAAGGGGTTTGTACAGGTTGGGTCCGCCCTGACTAGGTTAGCCTATTTTGTCAACCCATTTATTCTTCTCTTACTCAGGCCAACCCAATTGTGCCCTTCACCATCCTAGGCCAAAACATTCAGATGTCATTCGCTATCTCGGGCTTGAGCCCACCAATGAAGGCTCCCACTGAGACCCGTTGTGTCCACCCGTGGACCCTACTGCCTAAGCGCTCAAAGTCCCTTTAGTAGTCACGCAAAGGCCCTGTCTGTTTTATGCAGGTTAGGACCTCGTCCGGGTCTTCAAAATCAGTCGACCCAAATCTGGCCCATAACTCGTCCATGAACCAAGTCCACAAAACCTCTCTTCTTTCTTCTTTGTAGGTGCGGCTCATCCATTGCCACCAAATGTTAGCCTCTCCCTCCAGGTGGTAGGATGTCAAGGCCACCTGATGCGGTGCGACGGTGCCTTAGAAGTTGAAGTACTGGCCAACTCGGCTCAGCAACTCAATCGAGTCTCCTTTATAAAAGGTAGGTAGTTCCAATTTGAGTGATTTGTGGAAAAAGGGGGTCCGCTCGACGTCGTCAATGACGATCTCATCTCGAGCGGGGCGTGGCAAGTTGAGGTGAGGTATCAGGTTACTGTTGAAGCCTTCTTGTAGTGACACGACCACATCGGTCAATCGCTGAAGAGTTCCTTCGATCATGTGCAACTTATCGGTCATGCCCAACTCCATTCAGCTGACATGAAAAGGGTAAGGGTAAGGGTAAGGCTTAAGAAAGGGTAAGGGTTTTTCTGTTTTTGTGAGAAAATACCAGAAGATTTGAATAATTATGAGCTGTTTTATTAATGAATTGTGCTGCCTTTAAATAGACAGAGTTACAACTTAAGATAAGAACTAAAGATTGAAGCAAATCAATAAAATCAAATAAATACTGAAAATCTAAAAGTGGAGAGTAGCTTGGCCGAGATTTTGGGTAACCTCTTTTGTTGGAGTTGGTTGCAAGCACGTGCGAAATGTGCTGAAGTGAAGCACGTGTAAAAGATGCACAAAAGGTCGGTCCTTTATCTACGGTTAACCCATGTATCGTGGGTTTGGTTTGGGGATCCTCTGCGATCTCTAGTTTTTATCAACAAATATGTAAATAATACACATATATATAACATCAACTATGTAATATATAAATATGTGCATATATATTACAATAGGTTCTTATACTTGATTGATATGAATTACATCCTAAATCGTGTCTCCTATAAGTTCTTGTACCTAAATATGTGTATATATATATATAACACTATATATAAATATGGGCATATCTTGATTATTGTTCTCTCTTTCTGGTATGATAAAATTTTCATTTGCAGATACTTTTCTCTTTATTTATTACCAAACATGATTATATTTAAAAAAAAAACACTTAAGTTTATGCGCATATATAGATATATACATATATATATATATCATCCCAACTATGTACATATATATTGCCTTTTACCTTTTCTCATATGATAAATTCTTCAGTATCCATGATGCTTCATCCTTTATCTGTTACCAAACATTAAACATTCATTATATTCAAAAGCAAAAGCAAGAAGTAAGATATACACAGTACATGATAGGCAAAAATATGAGATTTTAGGTTTATGTTGAAATATATATCATTACCCATCTGTTGAGTTAAGTGAGACTTACAAATGATTCTAGACTTAGATTAATAGAAGAGTTTGAGGTCCTTCTTGGTTTTTCCATAAAGACCACCAATATATATCTTTTGATGCTCCTCATTACTATTTCTCTTGTTGCGTTTGTCATCGATCACAATGCCTTTACTTGATTAATGCGACATCATCATGAATAGATCTTCTTCAAAACTCTTCTTATTGGACTCTTCTTCCACCCTTTTTCTCTTTCCCTTTCCCTTCCTTGTTGTCTCCTCCACCATCTATAAGTACCAAAAAATCAAGTCAATGTAACTTTTTTTATATGCACATACTAATAACTACATATAATATAATTAGCTTAAATGACTTACTTGAGAAGAATCATTCTCATTTGTTATATCTTTTATTTTGGAATTCATGAATTTTGTTTATGAAGACTTCATCATCTTCACAGTGACACAACCAATTTAAATCTAATAATTTGCTCACGAATGAAAAATAACAATTTCAATTATATACGTTAAATATCTCCTACCACTCTCTTAGGCATTTCCTCCTTGATTGATTCCTGTAAATTAACAGGCAAACCAAGTATTTCTGACCTATTGAAGTACTTTCCACTAGGGGGAAACAACGCAAGCTGCACCTCCAGATAATAATCAACATTGAAGAAAGGATTCTGAATAAAAAACTGACCCGAGAATGGAACAAGTTCACATTCGATAAGTCCCTAAAGGAAGGTCCTCTGAAGTACAATGTCTCCTCATATGGATAACCACACTCACAGCTCTGGGGGCTCAACTTCTGATCAAGCGGACACAATTTGCTTCCACAGTTTGCCAAACTGGTAGAATACGGCTTTGTGGGTTGCTGCTGAAGCTGATAGTAGTTAGTATTTGATAGAGCAGTCGTGCACACTGGGTTTCCTACAAGTCTGAACACTTGCTGTTAGACAAGTACACAGACCCATGATTCCATTCCTATCACTAATTAATTAGGTCAATCAACCATCTCACATTAATGAATCTGTAGATTCAGAATTCAAGGTCACTGATGATATCCTGTTGTCCTGCAAATCAACCAGCTGCAATTGTTCCCGATCCACCATATTTTTTCTTGGCTGCATACCTTCTTCCGTACTGGAGTACTTGATTGCCTTTTTCATTTTCTCGTATGATAAATTCTTCAGCACCCATCATGCTGCTACTCTTATATGTTACCAAACATTAAACATTCATTATTATTTGACTAAACTTATTATTATTTTGTAACTATTTGACTAAACTTCCGTTCTTCAAAGCAGAAGCAGAAACAAAAACCTAGTAAAAAATTCACTTAATATATATGTACATGCTGGCATATATAGATACATAAAAAAATAGATAATATAAAACCAAATGTATATATACACATATGGCCAATGTAAACATATGGACATTTAACACACCAAGCAAAATTGCATATTTGAGTTCGTGCTTATAGTTATTTTACTTAACCCTTTTCACTTCAATCAAATCAAGAAGATTGAAAAACGTTCAATTCACAAATAAGCAACTTAACTGATAATGTCACATGCTACTTCCCTTATCTGTTCCCCATCCACCTTACTTTTCCTTGGCCTGACTGCCTTCTTTCGTATTGGAGTACTTGTTTTTCCTGCTGGCACTGCAGAACTACTCCCTTCTTCTGCTTTTTTCTTCCTCGGCTTGGAAGTTGGATGCTTCTGATCCACCTACACCTCACTACTCACTGTCATTGCGTTAGAGGGCAATGATAATCTGCATTATTTAAAAAAAAGAAAAAAAAAAGTTCAGAGTTTAATATATATACATATACGATCTGCATTATTTATCGAGATAAAAGGAAAAATAAAAACTACCATTTTCAGGGGTTCGTCTTCTTCATTTCCCAATTCTTCACATAAGAGATTTCAATGATCTGACATTCTCTTCTTAACAGTACGGCCGTTGACGCCGTGGTCGTCTTCGTCCTCGTGGACGTCCACAAAATCAAATCCTCGTTTGCTGTCAAATTACGAGGAGGAGGAGCTTGTTCGATTGGTTCGGAAACTGGTATTGCTGTTGCTCTTACTTGTTGTGATGGCAGAGGGAACTTTGGCAAAAGGCCAGAATAAGAACAAAATTCGTAAGGACTGGACGGAGAGATGGAGCTTTTAGTGGCTGCCACGACGAGTCGGCCGCTTGTCGGCTTGTTATTGCCGCAAGATTTGAGTAATGAAACGTGGTCGGTCTTTGACTTGCATTGCGAGCATCTCCTGTCTTTGCGCTTAGATCCAAATTCAGTGTCAAACAATATCGGATTTTCCTTATTGCCCTCCAATTTCTCACGCAAGTCCACCTGTTTCTACTGTAAAAGTTTTACAGCCTAAGAAAACCCACAAACAAAAAAGAAAGCAACAAAACAAAAACGCGAACTGGGTGTGAATGGATTTGTATTTCAACACATATTTTTGGGATTAATTGGTTTCGTGTCATGAAAATGGCAGCTCTTGAATTTTGATTTGACCCACCTTCTTCTTCAAGTTTTTCAATATACGGCTGTATTTTTGGGCTCTCAGTTTTCG